CGGGCGCAGTGGCTCACCCCTGTAATCCCAGCACTTTGGGAGCGCGAGGTGGGAGGATCACCTGAGGTCAGGAGTTCGAGACCAGCCTGGCCAACCCTGTATCTACTAAAAATACAAAAATCAGCTGGGCGTGGTGGCAGGCGCCTGTAATCCCAGCTACTTGGGAGGCTGAGGCAGGAGAATCACTTGAACCAGAGAGGCGAGGTCGCAGTGAGCCAAGATCGCGCCATTGCACTCTAGCCTGGTCAACAAGAGTAAAACTCTGCTTCAGAAAAAAAAAAAAAAAATGTTATATATATAATTACTCCCATTTATCAACCTTTACCTTCTCATACAGTAATCAAGTAAAATCACAAGAGATCACTTAAAGGCAAATAACCTTATGAATCTGCTAAGTGTAAACATAAAAGGCCATGGTATTGAGTAAAACTTAGGCATTGTTGTACAATAAGTATCTCTGTGTGTTCAACATTCACTGGGGCTTTAAGTACTAGTTGTTTAAAGTCCTACAAACATAAACAGTCCTTCAAAATTGACTATAAATAAAAGAAGAAAAAAATAGGGAAAAATTCACAAATGTCCAAATATTGTTATTTCTTGGACAAAACTCTACTGACTAGTAGTTTTGATTCTCTAACAGGAAAATGTAAAAATAACAGAATTTTAGAAAGTAGCAATTTTAAAGAAACAAAGCCTATGCCAAATGAATTTCAGTCTTTCATTACATGGTTTATAGGTCTGGAAACAGAAATCCAGGTTGTTAATTAATTCATAATTCCAGAAAATACTTTATTGGTCAGTGTATCTATAACATTAATTATATAATCTATAACTATTATATAGTCTGTCTGTCTCTCTCTCAAAGTAGAACAGCCCTTGCTTACATAATCAATTTTCCCCTGGATATTCTCTGTGCCACAATTTGCCTCTAGTTGCTTCACAGCCACTCTAAACCATATCTGGAAACTGTGTACAATGGGTAATATTATTTATAATTTAAGGGTAGTACCTGTAGTGTGCTCATGATATGAACATTTAAGTATCTAACCTATATATTTAACCAAGATAATAATTTAAACCATGACAATGTAAGACAGTGATGTGATACTATAACAGACAACAGGTTTTTCCCACTGAACCACACAGTACTTTTTTCATTGACAAATTCACCTCTTTCCAGAGATCTACAAAGTTAATTGTAAAACAGTAATAGCAAAGTGTTCATTAACCCATTAAAACAAATCACCTTGTTTTCAAAATAATCAGCTGAATGAAACTTGGTGTCAAGTGCATTAGTGTACTAACCCAAAGTATGGTTACTCTGAAACAGTTTGTACAACAAATGGGTTGTGAGGAAGTCTTATCAGCAAAACTGGTGATGGCTACTCAAAAGATCCATTGAAAATTATCAGTAATGATTTTGAATGACAAGTTATCAAAAACTCACTCAATTTTCACCTGTGCTAGATTGCTAAAATGGGAGTTAACTCTAGAGCAAACATAGCATCTTCTGAATACAGCCAATAAATGACAAAGCTAGGGCCTATGGTTGGTTTCCAGACTTTCCAGGCCCGGCAGAAGGAATCTATTGTAACACATGGATCTCTGTCTGTGCTCAAAATATCTAATGATATTTTTCATCTTTACTGGACTTCCTTGAAGAGTACTGTATTGCTTCATATCTTTTTGCACTGTAACAAAATGTGTTAAACAAAACCTTTGGATTAGCTTTAAAAGCAGCTAAAAAAAAAAAAAACAACTTCTGGATGCTGTAGGCTCTAATTATCAGAAGACTGTTATCTGGAAGCTTCGGGCTTTCAAATATCAGACATCCCAATAACTTATCATAAAAATACAAGCTCTTAGTTTTGAAAAATATACAAAATGCACTGCATAGGCAAATATCTCTTGATTGTCAAGGAAGACAATGTATCAGTTTCGATCATAGACTTATGTTGGGCTTCAGTTATCTTTGTATTTGCAAGTTCCATTTTTCACAGTTTTGGGCAACCTCTGACCTTTGGTGTAAGCACGGTACCAAAAATGGAGAAAGAGCAGCAGAAACATGCAACTGTAACTCATTATGATGCACGCAAAGACTGGAAACTGATACTTGCAATCCTCCATGAAAAAGAACTGGCTTATGTGGATGGTGACAATAACAAACTGGACCTAAGAAATGAAAACACGAAAAAAAATTATTCAGATATCGAGAGTTACAATTCTTTACCTACCTATGTTTATGCACTCCCAAAGTGCAGGGAGTGCACTGTTGGGCAGAGAAGTCCATCTTTAAATCTAGCCTCCTTGGGAGTGATAATGGGTAGTATAATGTCAAAAGCCAGTTGGAAGTATGGATCCACCATTCAGAACCACAAAATGGCACAACCGCAGGGTCTATATTTAAATGTTCCCTGGAGCTGTGCAGTGCAGCAACCTTTTTACTACTCAGAGAATCAACAGAGCAGGTTTTCCCTATAAGTCTCTGACTTGAGTCCTTGACTATGATGAAATGACCATGTACTACACATTGTGGCCTATTTTCTCAGGATGAGTTCAATTTCAAATATTCTGTCCTGTTATTGGACCAGATATTTTAATTTTTGGAAAATACTTACATTTTACTTAGAGCCCCTTGAATTTTGTAGTAGCCAAAGCATCTCTGAGTCCTTACACCTGCCACTTGTCCTTCACGGTCATAGATAAAAATGTGTCTGGGCCAGGTGCAGTGGATTACACCTGTAATCGCAGCACTTTGGGAGGCTGAGGCGGGTGGATCACGAGGTCAGGAGTTCGAGACCAGCCTGGCCAAGATAGTGAAACCCCGTCTCTACTAAAAATACAAAAATTAGCCAAGTGCCTGTAGTCCCAGCTACTCAGGAGGCTGAGGCAGAAGAATTGCTTGAACCTGGGAGGCCGAGGTTGCAGTGAGCCGAAATTGTGCCACTGCACTCTAGCCTGGGTGACAGAGCGAGATTCCATCTCAAAAAAAAAAAGGGTCTGAACTGCCAACTGAGGCAGAGAATCTATAAGGTGTGAGAGAGAACTGGTGGCCCTTCTAGTAGTGCTCAAGGGCTCTGTGGGGCAGAACATCTTACACAGTCCCAAGAGGGACCTTTTCTAAGCTAATATTCAGATTTTCTGGTTATCATGTTTTCCCTGATTAAAAAGCAACATGTGTTCTGCAGAAATTTTAGAAAAGTAAAACTCTATAAAGAAATAGGTAACAATTACCCACAACTGGTCTTATTAATCATGGTTAAGATTTTCATATAGTTTATTTTATTATTTTATCCTTATCATCAACTTTCCTTGCATTATCTTAATGTATATTTATGACATTCCCATAGCATAGCCACTTATTCCTCTCATTTTGCAAAAGAGAAAAAAAAAACTTTAGGAAGGCTAAGCGATGTCCTCAACATTCTATGCATGTGTATGTTTGTGTATAATTGACATCTTTGAGAATATGATAAACAAATGTTCATCCTTTTTCTACATCCATATTTTTCCACATTATTAAAAAGTTTGTACAACATTTAAGAGTATGCTAAGAGAAAAAAAAAAGCCTAAATACAGAATACAAAATTATATATGCAATCTATACAAATAATGTAAAAGGTGTACACATATGCCTGAGAGAAAAACTGGATGAAAACAAAATAAAAATATCATCAGTGATTATCCCTGGGTGGCAGAATTACATGTATTTTTTTCTCTTTTCTTAATTAGGTGTTCTCACATATTTGCAATGAGCATATACTACTTTGAGAAAATAATATTTTTTAAAGAAGCAATGGTGAGTAATTTTCATGACTTCATAGTATCTCAAAGTATGAATTAAAATAATCTGTTTTACCATTTCCTTATGGTTGGTCATTTAGTTTGCTGCCTGTTTCAGATACAACAAATAACTCTGCAAGGAAATACTCTGATCTTGATTTAGGATCCTTATACATTAAAATGTCAGTCTCTCACCTGGGAGAATACATTATATGAATGTGCCAAATTTCATTTAGGAAGTTACAGAATTTTAATAAAGAATTAATCTTCAACACGCTATCTAAATCAAATTCATACTTTCTCATTGATGTTACTGGCAGAATATGACATCAATTTATCATAGATTGCAAATGTGGAAATACAAGGATGGCAGAATTCTCCTTTTAATGGACACTAATAAAATGTAAAGCAAATCATCATCTCAAACCCATAATGAGTCTCCAAAAAAGTTAAATAACATATATGTTGAGAATTAATACTTAGAATGTATTATTAGGTCTAAACTGAGTGCCTCTGCTCTTTCAAACATTGTTTATATAAGGGCAGTATTCAAATTTAGGTAATACATATATGTTGGTCTAACCCTCTACATGTTTAATTCTCACAATGCTTTTTATTGACTGGAGGAAAGACGGACTTATAAATGTTAGGACTAGATAGGTAAGCACACAGGAAGGCTCATCGTTCCCTCAAAGTTGCATTCCCTCAAGGCCATCTAGAGCTAATGGAATTTCTAATTTCTAATAGGTATTATGCCTATTGAGGGTCATATAACTTTGGAGTTATTTTAATCACAAATTTATTTATTCTTGTATAAATGCATAAAATAGTATAAAGATGGCATAAAAATGCACACTTGTTTAATTGTCTCAGCCTTTTGGTTACCAAAGTTCATCTAATGTTATTAAGAACAATGATGGCATATCATGTAGGGGACAGACACTCTACCCCTATTGTTTTGTTAACTTTCTTCTTTATATAACTAGTATCCTAGTTCACAGTGAAAACAAGTGACTGTAGTTGCTTCATATATGGTTTTAAAGAGAGTTAATTACTCACAAGCTGTAATGATGTCAAATATTTTTTCCACCACAAATACTTCTGGTAGGCTGGTCCCAGTGCAGACAGTCCGTAGTAGGAATACATGACTACATGTACAGCTGTATTTAGAAGGGCATGGAATGTTCCCAAACCACCTGGAAAATAAAATTATTGTAACGTGGGGCCATTGTTCCTTAAAATGAACCACATTTTCATACGAACTGAGATTTTTGTATAATTATTTCTTGAATTTTGGAAAAAAATATATAAAATATCAATCCTGCTAAATAACTAACAACTTAGAGGGGGCTGGATAGTATATTTAGTAAAATATAAGATATGAACCTGAGAAAGTAAATTAGCATATCTTCATTTTGTTATATCTTAGCTTAAGGTGGTCTTACGATTTGAGTTTACTTACACTTAGTTGAGTTACCTTTTAAATATATGTTGCTAAATAATAGTATGCTAAATGCTAAATAAATATATGTTGCTAAATAATAATAGTTGCTAAATAATGTTAATTCATATTTTAGTGAGGGTTAACGTATAAAAATATACAAAGTACATTAATCTTAACTTGATGATTTTTCATGTATGTATACACCCATGTCACTACCAAGATCAAGATATAGAACATTTCCAACACCACTTAAGATTCCCATGAGCTCCCAAGGTAGCTTTAACTTCTTATCACCAACTATTACTTTTGTCTGCTATTAAACTTCACATAAATGGAATTACACAGGATGTACTCTTTTGTACCTGGTACATATATTGGTAGTTTGTATTTTTACTACTGTGTAGTATTATACCATATAAATGCATCATCATTTACCCATTCTCCTATCGACAGACATGTGGGTTGCTTCCAAACTGGGCTATTCTGAATAAAGCTGCTAAGAATATTTTTGTATATGTGTGGAATCAAATTTACTTTTCCTACTTTCAATAATCTTCATTAAATAATTTTGGCAGTAAAACCACTGGCTTTCATTAGCAAACTGCTGAATTTACTTTAATGAATTATTGTTTTCCCAAAGTAAATATCTACTAACTGTTACACCATCCTTATTTACGGCTTCCAATTGATTATGCCTTCCTATCTTGGTTTTCCTCTTCTCATTTCACCACATTTCCTACCGATCCCCTTCAATTGAGAATAGAAGCAAAGAACACATGGGAATGTAAGAAAAGATCACTTCAGTTGTCTTTAGCTGGACCAGTAATACAGCAGAAGGGGTAATGGTGTTTAGCTGAAAGTGTGGCGGAGGGAACACTCTCCCTGGGGTCCCTTGCCTAAGAGAACAATCTGGAAGAATATGTGTTCTTTATGTATAGCCTGACTCAGCTTAGTAATGTTGACCTGGAATTTACATTTTTCTCAGAAACATTCTATTTTCTTAATTCCAGTATTCTTTAATTCTGGAAATAAAGCAAAACCTCATCGATTTAGATTATGGTAGAAGAACTGAATTCATAAACACTATGCATTACAGAAAGTTTAAAGGAAAATACAAATTCATCACTTCTAATATAATCTAATGAAAAATCTAATAAAACCATTACACAGTAGAAATTGCTTTTAAATAATTATTCATAATTGCAGCAATTCTAGATATTTCTAGATACTAGCAATGCTGAAGTACTCTGTTAAAATAACCTGTTTTAAATAATTACTTTTAAGTAGTTAAGTATTCTCCCAAAGCCTCATTTATGCTACACTGTTCTACATAAACTTTCTCCTTCTGACGAGAGAAAGCCATATTTTAGCTAATCCCTCAATTACCATAAATTTCAAGTCAGAAGGAACTGAATTAATTAAGCTTATTAACAACTTTCCAGCTTGTATTATTTACATTTGGATTGGTCTTCTTTCCCAAAGGAAATTTGAATAAACACATTATTGTGGTGTAAGAACACCTTTTCTAGGTTAATTTAAAAATAGAATAGTTGTCTACTACTGATAGTTTAGGAGTCAAGGAGCTTAAAAGGAAGATAAGCCAAATATCTCTCAAATTCATTTGTGTTTCATAATAATACACACATAGGAAATCTATTTCACCTTTGATATGGAACTATGTCAGAGCTTTTCTAAGACACCTATCCTATTATTTAATAGAGGAGTGCCTATTTTCTGTTTGGATACTGTCACCATTAAATGTCCTAAAATGAGGATGTTAGACACAGGGATTTAACAAAGCACTAGCGTAGCCAAAAGTATTTAGTAAGGTTTACTGATCAAAATAAGCTATCAAATAAAAGTAACATGTTTACTTTCTCTAGTTATGATTTTTTCTGACAAGCTATTTTAGTAAGTTTATTTACAAAACAACCATATTTTAATTAGTAATTTTTTTGTATCTTCTTTGGAAAGCTTTCCTAACAAAATATTTTCTAAGCCTGTTTGTTTTCTGCTTTATGACAATGGGTCTGTAAACAAACATCTCAGAATGAATTACGATTAGTACCCATCACATTTTACTCCTTTGCACAAAACAAAGGAATCACCTGGGTAATTATCACAATTCTCCCTATCTCTGGAAGGGGATATATGCATAAGTTAATATTATAATTCACATAATTAATATTATAATATAATTAATATTATAATTAATATAAAAACCTACCACAGAAATATTTTCATCCTATTCAAAAGAAAAGCTGGATTGCTATTACCCTATTGAAGAGTACAACAGAAAAACAGGAAATTAAATACTAGACAGAGATCAGCTGTGCTCAAGTTTTTGCAAAGAACAGTTTAGAATGGACAGTTTCATTCTAGGAATGGACATCAGTACCAAATATTTCTGAGAACAGCTTTTGTTGCTGTGTTTGTCACTGAAATAGGTATCAGATCTGCTAAACAAGTGTTTACTAGAATTCCACATGTAAGACTGAACAGAAGTGCCAATGCATGGAACATATGAGAGAGAAGAAAACTATCTTGTACTATTTTCATTTTGTAAAGAAGAAGAAGGATTAAGGTGTGGACAAGAAACCTGTTATAAAGTGACTGATGTCCATAAACATAGTACCACTTAAAAACTGTGGTATATCACTTGAACCTGGGAAGAGGAGGTTGCAGTGATCCAAGATCACACCATTGCACTCCACTTGGGCAACAAGAGTGAAACTCTGCCTCAAAAAAAAAAAAAAGTTGAGGTATATCATATTTAAATTATCATTATTGAAAGCACTGCTTGCTTTTTAAATGGAAACCACACTATCAATGAACTCAAACATAGAAGTTAGAAAAATGCTCAATTGTATTCATTAAATAAAATTTATTTCTCCCATTCTTTAACAGTCAGATATTCAGTATTTAACAATTAGAAAATACAGAGAAAGGGAGGGAAATACAGAGGGAGAAAAAAACCACTTTTTGTTTCAATATCTCCCAATTACCTCTGTTTATATTTTGGGATATTGCCTTCCAATCTTTCTTCTATTCACATTTAGTTTTCAGTGTGTATCCTGGCCTCATGAGAGAAATCAGAATAAATAAACTATAAGAATGTGAAAGCACCTTTTCTAGCATACTTTAAAAATAGAATAAGTTCATCTACTTCTGATAATTTTGGAGTCAAGCCGCTTAACAAAGAAGATGAGCTTTGTTAAATCCTTATGTACAGAATCCTCATTTTAGGACATTTAATACATCTCAATATCATTTTTGTTTCACAGTTATATACACACAAGTAATAACCACTCTATTAGTGAATGTTTAGGTATTTTCCAGTTTTTCACAAACACCAGTAAGTGTCAATGTATATCACTGTAGAAAGAATGGGAAGGGGCAATATGCATATAAGAGGAAACAAAAACACAGAAAGTAAGGATAAGTAAAATAATGGAGATTAATATAGTCACTGTTGATTTGGCAAATGGACACCGCTGAGACTATCTTGTTTTAATGTAAATGAAATGTTTATACTAACAAACCTCGTAAGAAAAAGCAGCCAGTTTTAAGCCACTTTTGAGCAAGGAGGTACTTTACATCCTGGAAAATCCGATGCCCATAAGCCATGGTAGCGACAACTGTTCACTCATGATTCACAGCCCCTGTGGCTCCTCTGAGTTTTGGCATCCCCTTCCTGACATGGGCTTATCCATGTCCTCTCATGCTCTGAGACACGCAGATCTTTTTCCTCCATGCTTAGAGAGTCTAGAACTCAAACAAGAGTTCCTCAATTGTGGTTCCCCCTTTCTTTTAGTCTGGCAGAGTTAGAAAGGCCAAAAGAGGCAAGCTATTCACAGAAATGTTATGAACTATGGGTCTATTTGAAGACTTTTAAAATTTAAGAAACTGGAGCAAATAAATCCCCCAACCAAATTTTCCTAAGGTAAAAACATATCCTTGGGGATATCACTTATTTAAAACTGTGTAATAGGATAAAATTACTTCTGGTTTCTCCAATTCTAGACGATCAGAAGCCTAAAACGAAAAAGAAACAACCAACCTGTTTTCCACACTTTCAAATTAAACTATTTTGGACCTTAAAAATAGTATCAACACATTCTTTACTATGGTAGGATGCTTTAGGAAGTTGGGGTAACCACAATTTGACACATCTTTAAAGAGCTGTTAGGGGTTACAGTGTGTGTCAGCTATTAGAAATTTGAAGGCAAATAAGACATAGAATTTGAGATAAGCATTCTAACTTCCTGGGAACATGCAGGAAATTGTTCTCTATAATTCTATAAAGTCAAAGCTTTTGCCATTTTAGTTATTTGTTTGTTTATATTATTTATTTCTTTAAATGTATTTAATAAACCTCTCTGGGAAAATAATAAAATACAAACAAAATGACTAAAGAATACGTTTATTTTTCAAGTAATAGTTAATGAAAGAAGTAGAAACAAAGGGACTCTTTGATTTTTTGAGTTTCTTATAAATCACATTTCAGAAAAATATTTTGTTTATAGCATATAGAAATGTTATTGTTTATAACACATGATCCCAACTTCCCCTCATCTACCTGCAGCAAATTTGACTCCAAACCACCAGGTCCACGGCATGATGGTATGATGGAATACATGAAGGAAAGTCACTTGGTTATTTTTCTTGCGCAGAACAAAAAAGATCTGAAATAATTTAAAGAATATCAAGTTCATAGAAAATCATGTGATAGTGTATTGAGTATTATTAAAATATTGGCAAAGTACAAAGTATTTCATATCATGATTTCCTCTAAAAGCGTTGCCTTATAGAATGCTTACAGAAGCAGCTAATTCCCCGAAGGGCAGCTCAAAATCTCATTATTATGAAGTAACTTAGGTAGGATGCCTACACATGGAAGAACCAACAAAAAGGTGAAAAGAAATTGTATGCAGATTTAAAAATCAAAGATATAAAGTAAGGAATATGGCCAAAAATTATTGAAAGAAACTGTATTAGTAAAAAAAAAAAAAAAAAAAAAATCCAGTGGATTTTGAAGTATATGGGAAAGCAGAAGACTTAGGATTGAAATATTCTACATTGCTCTCTAATACATCTTACCGATATGGATAAGGGATTAGGCAAACGAAGAGGACTTGCAACAAATCAAAAGTTAGCAAATTATTATTAAAGAAAAATGAAGGGAGAAAAAGTTGAAAAGTTAATTTGAGAAATATGAGGGAAAATAAAGCAAAACTGTATAGAAAAAAATGAGAAGGGGAAGGAAGGTAACACTCAGAATGAACATTATCCAGTGGTTTGTAAAAACCCTATAAACAAGATGGTAGAATTTGGGAGAGGGGGAAATGTTTAAAAAATATTCGAAAGTGAAATTCAGAATACAAGTGTTAAGATTTTTAAACACAAGACTAAATAGAATAGCACAAAGAAAAGTATTAAGAGGAGTATTTGAGAAATGTAGTTTACGGAAGGACATAGAAGCAGTACAGTTTCCTTATGGAAGCTGGAACTGAGAATATGCAAAGCAACTGAAAATATGGAAATTTTGCACATTTCCAAGTGCAAAATGCATTTGCTTATGCACATGGAAGAAGGCTGAGTGGCGCAACAGAAAAAGCCATACACTAACAATCTAGGTCCTTGTCCCACTTAGTAGGAGCATTCCTCTGGGTAAGTCACTTAACTTCTTGGCTTCAGTTTCTCAGAGTGAAGGTTCTGGACTAATGCTTCTCAATCCTGGCTGCATATTACAATATCCAAGAAGCTTTTTAAAAATAGCTATGCTTGGTCTCTGTTCCAAACCATTTGGCACCAAATCTCTGGAGGTAGGGCCTTTTTTTGTCGTCGTCATTTTCCCTAATGCAATTAATTCTGTTGCACAATGCGGGCTGAGAACCACTAGAATACAGGTTCTCAAAACGTGGTCCCTGTATTAGCATCATCTGAGAACTTGTTAGAAATGCAAATTTTGAGCCCCCATCCAAGGCCTAGTGAATCAGAAACTCTGGGAGTAGGGGGTTGAGGCATCTGTGTTTTAACAAGTCTTCCAGGTGATGCTAAACGCATAAAGTTCGAGAACCACTAGATTGTATGTTCACACAAGTCCTTTCCAATTCTAACGTTATGTGATTAGTCATTTCAAAAGGTGAAGCATATTGAGATTTCCTACAAGAAATATCATGGTATGCATTCCAAAGAAAACACACTTTTCAGTCTCAGAGCCAAAACTAGCTCCAAATAACTAAGATACACTTGCTGCAAAGATACAACAAATATTCAGCTTTCCTAAGCTCCTCTGGAAACAAAGGTTCATGGCTTTCTCCTCCAAATCACAGACCTAATTCATGACACTTGCTTCTCCCAGGACCCGTTCATACAAGTTCAGAGGTGATCCTCACTAGGATCTAAAGTAGGAAGAGATAGGGCCCAGTAAGCAAAGACTTCAGAAAAGCAGCTGAATTACTGATACCCCAGGGGTAATGCAACATTCTCACGTAAGTTTATGAATTTTTAAGCATTTATCCTCCTAAAGGAATATAGATTAAAAAAAAAAAAAAAAGTAAGATGTTTTCTGCTTTTTACTTCCTGAACTTGATTCATAAAACAACTGTCATCCATCTATATATAGATGCAGTTTTGTAGTATATGACACAGTTACTGTGCTTATCTTAATCAACTGATAGCTACATAACAGAAACCTTTTAGAGTTTGTAAAATACTGAAAAAATAAGGTTATCCTATCTATTCTCTAAAGTTACTGATAATAAAAGGTAAAAAAGATAACAGTAGGTCTGCCTGAAAAGGAGAAATGACCAAAGTTATCAGACAACTGAAACTACAGCAGTTTATTGGTTTCATTGAAAGATCAAACATTTAAGATCAAACATTTACCAAATGTGGTGGCCATATACTCACCGTATCTAATAGCTCAACAAATTTGGAGAAGTAATAAAGCCAGCAGGTACGTGCCATCTGCAGAAGCACAAATAAATCTAAATTTATTTTGTTTTACTTTGTATATGGAAGAAAAGCTTGTATTTTTAAATTTTGGTAAAATATGCATATATTTTATGTTAACCATTTTTAACATAATGGTTATGTTAACCATTTTTTAGTGCACAGTTAAGTGGCATTAAGTACCTTTCACATTGTCATGTCACACTGTCATGTTAACCATTTTTTAGTGCACAGTTAAGTGGCATTAAGTACCTTTCACATTGTTGTTCAACTATTACCACCATCCATCCATAGAACTTCTTTCATCTTGCAAAACTGAAACTACACCCACTAAACTACATCCCATTCCCCCTTTCCCCTCACCCCAGTTACAATTCTACTTTTTGTGTCTATGAATTTGACTACCCTAGGCTCCTCATATAAGCCAAATCATGCAGTATTTGTCCTTTTGTGACCTAATTATTTCACTTTGCATAGTGTTCTCAGGGTTCATCCGTGTTGCAGCATGAGTTAGAATTCCCTTCCTTTTAAAGGCCGAATCATATTCCATTCTATGCATATGCCACATTTTGTTTATCCATTTATCTTATTTATCTTTTTTTTTGTTTTTTTTTTTTGAGACGGAGTCTCACTTTGTCACCTAGGTTGGAGTGCAGTGGTGCGATCTCGGCTCACTGCAACCTCTGCCTCCTGGGTTCAAGCGATTTTCCTGCCTCAGCCTCCCGAGTAGCTGGGACTACAGACCCACGCTGCCATGGCCGGCTAATTATCGTATTGTAGTAGAGACGGGGTTTCACCACGTTGCCCGGGCTGGTCTCAAACTTCTGAGCTCAGGCAATCCACCCGCTTCAGCCTCCCAAAGTGCTAGGATTACAAGCGTGAGCCACTGAGCCTGGCCTTGTTTATCCATTTATCTATCCATGGACTATTGAGTTGCTTCTACCTTTTGGCTATTATGAATAATACTGCTATAAACATGAGTATACAAATATCTCTTCAAGTATCTGTTTTCAATTCTTTTAGGTATATATCCAGAAGTGGAATTGCTGGATCTTATGGTAATTCTATTTTCAATTTTTTGAGGACCCAGATGTTTATTTATTTTTAAATCCAAGAAATTCAAAAAGTAAAGCACCAATTTTCATTTTATACAAAATTATACACATGACTTTCTTTTATTCTTGTAATTTTTCACTTTCTCCACCACAACACACACAATCTGATAACTGAGTCATTTGCTTATTCTAAGTTTACATTCAATGTTACAAACAGTTCACAAAATTTTAACATTGATTTTGAATTTCAAGTTTTTCTAAAGAGAAACTTACCCTCAAAGCTGTGGGTGACTGTGAATAGTCAACAATTTCACATCGAAATGAATAACCTATACCCCAGCCAGACATCACAAACTGCAAGAGAGCACATGCATATTAAGAAAGGAAAGCATTTTCCCAACAGCCACAACAAAGGTAGTTTTGATAGTGTCTCTTCATTACATTTTCAGCTGAGTCAGTGCAGAGGAAAAGGTAGCTGGAACAAATACAAACTATGAACATGCTTGATATCAGAGCTTGATATCAAGAATTTTCAAAACCACAAACCCATATATTATTTATATAAACTGTGTTCTGACTAAAATGCTCATCTCTTGGGATGATTATTCTAACATGTGAAGAATAAAACACTTGCAGTGTTTTGCTTAAACAGCAAATACTGGTAGGTGACTTATCTTAGGTTCATCTGTATATGTGTGAGTGAATGTGTTTCTATACTCTTAAAGGGGACACTTGGATCTGAATCAGTCATTTCTAGCAATTTCCAGTCTTTCTACTTAGTCAAGAACTAACCATGCAAACCAAAATGCCTCAATGTACTCATAAGATGGCTGCGAAAACTAGGTTTTTCCCATCATTGGCTGGTGAGTGTGATGTGAGGTGGTAGTCCATGGCTCAGATATTATTAATAGTTTTACTGTGGATTCACAAGACAAGTAAAAGAAGAAAATGCTCTTGTTAACAATAAAAGTGCAATCTGGCACGCCTTAATTCCAACACACCCACAAAGTGATCCAAGGCTGATGGTGAGAAGAATGAGCCTATTGTTGATAAATCTGAACTGTAATTCAAAGATTATAAAGATTATACTGACATTCTTTCAGTCTGATGGTGGGAAGGTCTTCTTTTAAAACAGTATCTGAAAAGGAAAAGCCAAGGGCTCCAATTTTAACTTAACACATACATGAAATGATTGGCTTAATTTAGGGTACTGACAATACGATCAGTTCTTCTCTTTTCTGACTTCTTATTCTCATACACGCCAAATCCGCCCTGGGAGATCTTCTCTCTCAGTATAATGGTTATATCCTTTTCTGCCATCGAATCATATTTTAAATTTCTAGTTTTAATTACTATTAAAGCTAAAATTGCAACCTTACAATAAATTAAATTCTAAAAACAAAAGCTTATGAGGCATTGTCAGAATAAAATTCTGATGGTGTAAAGAAAAGAAACGAAGAACAATTATTAGACACTATGGTATTATAAAATGTATTGCTCTTTTCTGAGACTAGCCCCTAGCTTGACTTATAAGATAATTTAATCACACTGTTAACTTAGTAAGTTATAAAATCTTGAAAATTAAGACTCAGGAAAGCAAAAGACATGTATTTCATGAATGAGAAAAATATTTAACAAAAACAAATCAATAGATTTTGCCAAATGAAAAAGGGGACATGACATAGAAATGGCTAATTCTGTTTTGAAAATCCTACTGTGAGTGAGTGTCCTCATATTCTCTTGTGCTCAGACTCATTTTTGACTAATGTAACGCTCCATGGCCAGGAGCTATTTACTGGAATTGTGATGAATAATTCTCCACCTTACCCTACCCCAAACAAGCACTGTGTTGAATGAAAGTTACGTGACTTGGCCTTCTGTTGGGTCTTAAGTGGTCTCTGCTAGTGTCTGACTGGTGCCAAGTAACTAGCACTTTCAAACAATCACTACGCAAGAAGGCATCTGAGTTCCTTGAGTCTGATGTGCTTCCCTTTCAACTTCCTCAAATTTGGCCTAATATCACTGGTGGAGGTGTTTGCTTTGTTAACCAAATGAAATCATACTCCATACAATAAACCATGTGTTCAGATGTGCCATCAACAGATGGATGGCATGCTGTGTGGCTATTAAAAGCCTTTGTTTAAATAAAGAAGAACATTTAAGAACATTCCAACAGCCTGTGGAACTTTTTACATATATGTCTATATTCCAGGCTAGTAATAAGAAAGATCAGGCCAGGCCCAATGGGTCACACCTCTAATCCCAGCACTTTGGGAGGCTCAGGCAGGTGGATCACTAGAGCCTAGGAGTTTGAGACCAGTCTGGGCAAAATGGCAAAACACCATCTCTACAAAAAATACAAAAAATTAGCTAGACATGGTAGCGCATGCCTGTAGTCCCAGCCACTTGGGAGGCTGAGGTGGGAGGATCACTAGAGTCTGGGAGGTCAAGGCTGCAGTGAGCCAAGACTGTGCCACTGTACTCCAGCTTGGGCAACAGAGAGAGACCCTTTTTGGAGCGGGGGAAGTGGGGGAAGAATTCCCTGAATTCAAAAAGTAATAATTTATATTTGGCAGGTAGTTCCTGAAACTGACACATAAGTAACTCAAGTATTAGCAGTAAATGAGAGTCAGAAACTCTCAAATTCAGATATTTTAAAACCTTCTTTTACATTGTAATTCATCAAGTAGGAATCAAAGCTGCCTGGTGATGACTGTATTCTTTCCAAGCCTAAGAAATATATTTGGGGACATTACAATCAATGACAAATCAGACATAGACTCTAAGAATATGAGAGCAAGGAGGGACCTGAGTGACTATTTGGTTCAATCCTGTCTATATAAAATGACAGAACTGAGGCCCAGAGAGGTTAAATAACTTGCTAAAAATCAGGCAGCCAGTCAGTGGCAGAACCAGAACTAACTAGTCCCTAATCTCCTGGCTTCCAGGTATGTTCTTAACACCTTACTACAACATGCTGTCCCCTAAGACCATGCTAGGACCTTGTGTTTTCTTTGCTCTCACCTCTATCACTCTTCCTCTCAGTTGCTCATACTCCTGAAGGGACATTAAGAGTGGCCTGTGAGTTAATTTTGAAAATAAAATAGAAGAAATGGAAAGCAGCAGAGTGAGTCTAGATTATAGGGAGGACTGTGAGAAATAAGGCCAGAGTATTTTATTTATTTATCTATATATTTATTTATTTATTTTGAGACAGGGTCTTGCTCCATCACTAGACATGATCACGGCTCATTGCAGCCTCGATCTCCCAGGCTCAAGTAATCCTCTCACCTCAGCCTCCCAAGTAGCTGGGACCACGGGCATGCACCGCCATGCCGGGCTAATTTTTTTTGTATTTTTTGTAGATACGAGGTCTCCCTATGTTGTCCAGGCTGGTCTCAAACTCCGGGGCTCAAGCAATCCTCTTACTTCAGCCTACCAAAGTGCTGGGATTACAGGTGTAGGCCACCACACCTGGCCAGCCAGAGTAGATTTAAAGTGATCAATATGATGGATCTATAGCAAGAGTCAAGTCAGAAGAATGTATGTGGAGAAACTATGGTGTCAGGAGAGGTCAGTGGGGCCACATTGGGCCCTCATGAGCCCTACTTACGACTAAGCATGAGGTATGCTATAGAGGAAGTTAATAAAAAAGGATGATGAAGCCAGCCAGAGTTGGAAAAGAAGGAAGGAATCTCAGAAAAGAACACACACGGGGGTGGCTGAGGCATGTTAATAGCACAGGGGAAGAGACAGAATTCATGAATCTGTTTTAGGGTCCTAGAAGAGCCCCATCTCTCTTATTAACAATTAAGGAACAGCAATGAATTAATGAGTTAATGGGGAAAAAAATGAAGGAAAAGGCTCCCTCACCTACTGCTTTATATGAGTCTATGCTCTCTGTCCCCACAAAGCCCAGCTAAACCAACCAAAACAGTCTACCATCCTATAGTTCATCAGAGTATCCAGAAACCAAAGGTTCCTACCATGATGATGACATAGTAAACTCTGATGTCAGACAGACCCGGGTTCAAATATCAGCCCTCCACTTACCAGCTATGTTACTTTAAGTTATGAGTTTCCTCAAAACTAAAATTTATGGATTAATTCAATCATCCATTAAGGCAATTATGTACAAATCCATGGACTAGATGTTAATTTTTCTCATTATCTGTGAGATATATTATACCGAGATCCTCAAATGAGGTTATTATGTGGTCTATACCCAACACTATTTTGGCAAACACCTGCTCTAGTGAGATCAGTTTCTTAATTCCTTAAATTGCAAAGGTTACCCTTATAACAGAAAACATAATGACACATAGACAGAAAAACTCAGGCAAAATTCTCCCATTAGGAATACTGAAGACACTTGCCTCATAACACATATACACAGAAAAGAGTACTATTAAAAAATTGTACGTTATCATCACTTTCTTGAGTTCAAAGGGCTTGCGATTTTCCATGAGCTTTGGTCCCAGAGAAGTGACAAAATAGACATAGAATCCTAGAAGGATGGTTTGCGGCAGAGGCGAGGACATGAGGAGCCAATCTTCAACTCTTGGATCTAAGAGAAAAACAATATGTGAGTATACACCTGCTTAGCCAAGGGATAACTAACAGCAACCAACATTTCTTTAATTGAGCATCCAGATCCTACTATTGACTGTGAGCTATTTGGACAATGATCACTAGTATCTGTAGAAAGGTGGAAAACAAATCAACAGGAATAAGGAAGTATCCTGGGCCTAGAAACAGTGGGGCTCTCAACAACCCCAGGCCTCAACAGGCTAGGGGAAGTAGTAGTTACCAGAACTCAAAAGGAAAGAGAAGCCCTCCTGGAGAGGAGCTGTGTTATGCTCTGATCGCCTGCATGATGGTGTCAGTGCCCTGATAAAAGGCACCCTAGGGAGCCCTCTTTCCCCATGTAAGGATACAATAAGAAGATGGCAGTCTGCAACCTGGAAGAGGGTCCTCACCAGTACCTGACAGTGCTGGCACCCTGATCTCAGACTTCTACCCTCAGAACTGTTAGAAATAAATTTCCATTGCTTATAAACTACCCAGTCTATGATAATTTCTTATAGCATCCTGAGTATGCTAAGACAAGCTTTGACTGTCAGTTGAGGGATTCGGCCAGCCCAAGACAATTTTGTAAGTATGGGGCCAGAGAAATAGATACCCCAACTCCACCCTCCTCCCTCTCTCCACTGGGTGAACCTAACCAGAAAGCATACGGCAGGGGAGCAAACCCAAGGATACAGTCTTCATGGATCATTCTCCAGGGCCCAGCACAGGGCGCAAAGCTATCTGGAAGAGAGAACATCCAGCAACATCCTGCCATGTGTCTATAGCCACTATTAATATCTTGGAGTTTTTCCATCCATATGTGCTTTTATATATTTAAAAAATGTTTGTATTTGCTGCTTATTTTTTTTCCTTCCCTAGGAAAACTGGCACACTTCCACATATACTGCATCACAGGATCACAGAATAGAAAGGGAGCTGAACATCCTCTAAGTAGCTAAAGTATGGGATTTTGGAGTCCGTGTGGGCTAACCACTGTGATATTCTGAGCAAAAAAAATGCACCGGCCTCACAATTGCAAACAGAAACTTATCTGCTTACTGTCAGCTCCAGGCCAGCAGAGATGGATGAATAAAAAATTACAACTCAGGATGAAATGTGATTAAGTCTATAATTTCTAGTAGTTCAAGTTTAATTTTACTAAATGGCCTCATGAAGCCAGATTATTATGAAGGAAAGGAAGTATGGACAAGTTTTCAGAAGGATCTGACTCAAAATTATGCCATGACTAACCTCAGGATGCTAACTACTGTCACTTTTATCAGTTGGAAATGAAGGGTAGGGAGAATGCTGCTCTTGCTTTTTTAAGCTGCTAATTATGTGGCCAAGCACTGACAAATTCTGAATACCCCTGCAAGTGTGACTTCCCACTCAAAATTTCTTCAGTAGGACTCTACGACTGATAACTCACTTGGCCTCAATTTTAGTGCTGGAGTGCTTACATTTGACCGTCAGATGTGCATGGGTGATTATTCTGCATTCAAATAAGCCTCCCTCAAAAATACTGGCAGAAGTCTCTGTCTCAAAAAAATAAAGAAATAAATAAAGCCAAAGAGTCAAGAGTCAGCTCCAGACTAGATCCCAGGACATTTAAGAATTTAATATATGATTAAGGAAGTGCTCGCTTCGGCAGCACATATACTAAAAATAGGAAGTCCCAGAAACAAGCAGGGAAGGAAGAGATCTTTAACAAATGTTGATAGGAAAACTGACTGCTTGGGAGAAAAATGAGTTTGGTTCTTATCCGATATTCTATAAGAGTATGTTCCAAACTATGCATGGAGACAAGCTATTTAAAGACTTTCCACAAAGAATTGGGGAGTACTGGAATGCTGGGTTAAACAAACAGGTTGCATTACTACAGGATTTCTTAATACTTCATGTTCATCATGAATTGCCAAGATGGGAATGGTAGTATGCCATAGTCTCCAAACTTATTTGACCAAAAAACACTTATTTTTTTTAGTAGAATATTATTTAACATCTTATGAAACTAGTATTCTGTGGAACACAGTTTGGGAAATATAGCCATTCACTAAAATAAATTTATAAATTAAACGACTGAAGATTAGGTGGTCAGACATACAAAGAAGAGTTAGTACCAATCCTACGGAAACTAATCCAAAAAATTGAGGAAGAGAGATTCCTCCCTAACTTATTCTATGAAACCAGTATCATCCTGACACCAAAATCTGGCACAGACACCACTATCACCACCACCACCGCAACAAAGAAAACTACAGGACAATATTCCTCATGAACACAGATATAAAAATCCTCAACAAACTAGCCAGGTGAATCCAGGAGCACATCAAAAAGTTAATTCACCACAATCAAGTGGGCTTTATTCCTGGGATGCAAAGTTGGTTCAACACAGTCAAGTCAATAAATGTGATTCACCACATATATAGAATTTAAAACAAAGACCATATGATTATCTCAATAGATGCAGAAAAAGCTTTCAATAAAATCTAACATCTATTCATGATAAAAACCCTCAACAAACTAGGCATTAAAGGAATATACCTCAAATAATAAGGGCCATCTATGACAAACCCACAGCCAACATCATACCTAATGGGCAAACATTGGAAGTATTACCTTTAAGAGCTGCAATAAGACAAGGATGCCCACTCCTATTCAACATAGTACTAGAAATCCTAGCCCAGAGCAATCAGGCAAGAGAAAGAAATACAAGGCATCCAAATTTGAAAAGAGGAAGTAAAATTATCCCTGCTTGCTGATAATATGATCTTCTACCTAGAAAAACATAAAGACTCCACCATAAAACTCTTTTTTTTTTTTTTTGAGACGGAATCTTGCTCTTGTTGCCCAGGCTGGAGTGCAATGGCATGATCTCAGCTCACTGCAACCTCTGCCTCCTGGGTTCAAGCGAAACTCCTGCCTCATCCTCCTGAGGAGCTGGGATTACAGGTGCCCGCCACCATGCCCAGCTAATTTTTGTATTTTTAGTAGAGACGGGGTTTCGCCATGTTGGCCAGGCTAGTCTCAAACTCCTGACCTCATGATCTGCCCACCTCGGCCTCCCAAAGTGCTGTGATTACAGGCGTGAGCCACCGTGCCTGGCCAAAACTCTTATATTTGATAAATGAATTCAGTAAAGTTACAGGATACAAAATCAATGTATGAAAATCAGTAGCATTTCTATGCAGCGAAGTATTATCCTCAAGAGCTGGAACAGCTCTTCAACCCTCAAGCTGACAGCCAAATCAAGAGTTCAATCCTATTTACAATAACCACATGCACAAAAAATAAAACACATAGGAATACATCAAACCAAGGAGGTAAAAGATCTCTACAAGGAGCATTACAAAACACTGCTGAAAGAAATATGGAAAACACAAATGGAAGAACATTCCATGCTCGTGGATTAGAAGAATCGACATTGTTAAGATGTCCATACTGTCCAAAACAATCTAAAGATTCAATGCTATTCCTATCAAATTACCAATGTTATTTTTTACAAAATTAGAAAAAACTATTCTCAAATTCATAGAAAACCAAAAACGAGCCCAAATAGCCAAAGCAATCCTA